CCTGAGGTACAGTTGTACCTTCTGGTAATAATGTACCTAATAATGTATTCTATATTTATATACATTCATATATGTATAGAGTCCAGTACTCTCTACCTATAGGTACCTACTACATAATATTATATACACAGTTATTGCTATTATTAAAATCGCAGCTGGCGTGGGAGTTTTATCTAAAGCCACTATTTCTCGTGCACTCAAAAATATCTTCAATAGCTGAACGCTATGCGTTTACACGATCGTTTTATGGTATTTATATTATGTCGATTGTCTATTGTTTACGTAGGGTGTATAATATATATATATATATAATTTGTGAGTATTTGTGAGTATTACACGAATACGGCGATTGTTTTTTTTTTTTATAAGGTGCCAAAGTCGATTGGTTGTCGACGCATTTGTCAATAACTGAAATTATTATATTATCTGTATCGTATGTCTGCAGATGCACGATTCGATGAGAACACATTGTACATTTTAAAATCACGCCGAACGCTATACATTTTATAAGCATAATACCTAGGTATATATTACATAACTATATTAACTATTGTACTACCTATCTCATACCTGTACACTGCACACGTTATAAAACGACTATCTTATATTATTATTTAATACCTATATACGATTTTTCACATTTCTAAATATCTCATTTGTTTTCCTTTGCACACGTAAATACAATTGAAGTTGCCGTGACTAGAACAGCGAATCCTATCCTTAGACCCCAAGTAAATTATTATTATTAAGCAGCCAACTCGTGACGGTGAAGATGAATAACATTTAACATTTGTGTAATATTATGCTTAATAATTTATATTTTATTACTTAGGCAAACGTTGACATTTATGTGAAAATTTGATTTTTTTTAATTGATCATTTCCTGTTTTTACGTATTCTTGCTTTCCCGCAGTCTGGAACCGATTTAAGTGGCGTAACGTATTAAAAGGTGTTTTAATGGCGAGCCATTAATTTTTGTTTTTATCTACCCGTTAATAAATAGGACGTTAAATTGTCTAGTGGCGTATATTACGGAACATTGAACAACCATGGGTATACGGGTGTAACCCGATGCAAAATTGCTTATGGTTTTTTTTTCATTAGGATTTATTAGTTTTAACTATTACAAAGAACATCATCAGTAACTATTATAACAATTAATATACCACCACCCATTATATCATTGAAAATAGAATATTTTTTTAACGATTCAAATGCATTTTTATGATAAAAACATATTTCACTATTATTATGTACATTGTATTTTGATATGGTATGAAATTGAAAGGAGGTGAATTGAATAATTAATTTTATTGTTTTACTGGGGAATATTTGAGATATTAATGTATTATTATTTAACACGATAAAGCAGTGTCTTAATTAATGTATACAGTTATTATTATACGTAAAATAAAATTAAGAACTATTATCGCCATGCTAAAGTATATATAATATTAGCTGTGCCACCCGACGTTGTCTAGGCAAAATATTTGTATTTTAAATAAATATAATGGTACAAAATGTGTAGGTATTACATTATTTCTACTTATCATAATATTAATATAATATGTAACCAATTGCAACCATTTAGATAAACCAAACAATTTTCTTTTTTCGTAATTTGAAAAAAAAAATCATTTGTGAGCTACCCTCTAGCTATCTATTATAGACTATAGGAGATGAAACATTGAGTTATAAACACTCTCCAAGTTTCAAGTAATCTATTGATATAACTTATATTTTATATACATTTTTTGAGGCTATTAACTTTGGATGAACCAACGTCCAATTTTTGTTGTATAACACGATTTTGCCCTTGAGGAAACGAATAAATACAAAATATATATTAATATAAGTGTATCTACCTTATTCCTCACTTCATAGACACTCAATAACTACTTAACCGATTTTGTGACAATTTAAAATTATTTTTGAAGATATCTGGAAAGTTTAAATAGTAGTTTGAATCACGTTCGATTTATAATACAAATGAATTATCCATCTTCGTCGAATTAGTTGTGACACACAAACTGACAGAAGAAATATAATATTTTGGTATAAAAATATATTTTTAATAGTTAGGAGCTAACAAAGTTAAGTTCTCCTTAATGTTTATACATTTTTTAAACCAATACATTTTTCTGAAACTTATATGAAGTTTTAGATTCTGAACGAATGAAGTTTATATTTCATTTACAGTTACATAATGTTTTTATTTTTAAATTTATATTTAAATGGTATGTAATTTCAAAAACAACACAAGTCATAATGTTAGTCCAATTACTAATGTTATAGTAAAAAATAATTTAAGTTAATATAGTATTACATTATCAAACACTTTAATATTATCATCATTCTTTACCGACTAATGATACTATATTATTGTTATTGTTATCTATTTTCCAAATGTCAAAATATGTAATTCTGTTAGCAATAAGGTTATACGACAATGTAAGGGAAACTTTAATTAATAAAAAAATAATAATATTATCCGGTATACTTCAAGCATTTCAATTCTCAGGCACCCTATTTTATCACCCCTGCATCTAGAATATCTTAAAGTAGGTATTCTTATTTGTATTATTATAGTTACTATTGTTACTACTACTCTTCATAGTGTAACTTGTTAATAAATAAATCTGGTAAATTGTAAATAGTAGAGGTATTTATGATTTTTTTTAAATTGTTTTTCTAATTTCTAAACCTAACTAACTATAAGTATTAACTTACTCCCATAATTTAGGACATATCTACCTAACTGTTCACAGTTTTTTCGTTTTTTACGATGGAAATTGTACACGGTTTTTATTTTTTTGTAGGTAAATTAATTGATTAATTGATTTTTACGTTAATTTAAATTAGATAATATATACCTATTACCTACCCACTGTAATGAATACCTAAATAGGGTAGATATTTATTAAATTATATGCATTAGGCATAAAATAAATAATAATGAAGAGTAATAATATTATGTGACTTTAAAATTATAATAATTTACTAGGTACGAAATATGATAATTTTATTATTATTTGAAATTCATTATTGCATTGATTTGATATTTATTGTTTTAATTTATTTCTCATGAGATAAATTTGTGAGAGCAAACTTGAAGTTCATTTGTATATTTTTTTACCTATCACCAAAAATATTAGCACCTATACATTACTTTAAATGAACTGTGTTTGCTTTATTATGTCATGAACACTAAGACATTACACTGATGTTTCATCATGTTGTTCTAGCATATAGGTAGTATGTATTATAGTATTACTATTATTCATACATCATATTATTATCATATGATAAAAATATATTGTCTTAAACTCCTTTCAGCTCACCTATAATGTTATAATTGATCGTTTTACTGTACCTATACAACATATAATGTATATTTATTTTATATATTGATACCTTAGGTACTGTATAATTACATAATATTTAATATTGTCTATTAAACATGAAATAAGTAGGTAAATAAGAAATCATGCAAACGACGTTTTGTAGGTGTATGATATGTATTTTGACAGGTATCTTATTCCACAAAGACCTAAAAATTGTAAGTACTATATAAATATTCGATATTATAGTATATTTGTTTTTATTTCATAATTATTATACACTATAGTAGTATAGAAAACACTGAAATGTAGGGAGTAGGGACTATAATACAATATAATATTATATAATGATGATATTGCATTATATTTATATACTATATTCATTAAAACGTATTGTCGGTTCTCGGTTTGTATCACTAGTAGGGAAAAAGGACATTAACCTATATATCTTATAATATAATAAAGTGTTTATTGTATAACTGTATAGTAAGCAATAAATGGTGTTTTGGAAATTGAACAGTATGTACATATACCTACATTATTAACATGTATAAAACATACGCTGCGTGTTTATTACATTATTTATCGGTTTATATTATACCATCGCCCATCAGGCACTCCTTTCAGTAGTTTACTCGGAATAAAATCGGCCAGAGAGAATTATATTTCATGAACAAAACAAAATAAATGCAAAAATAATTCAAAATTTCAGTTATATAATATAATATCTAAGCATAATATATTGTTTATTTTTGATATTTCATATAGGTACATAAACCATACTACACGTTTTAAATTTTAATATCCAATTTCAGATAGGTATTTAATTCAAGTATTCAACATAGGACATCTCATAATATACATTAATTGTGATAGATATAGATACAGAAGAACATATTATAAGTACTAAAATTATAACATTAGTATAATATAATACCTATAGCTATATGGTATGAAGTATAAGCCCAGGGCAAAGCTAAATGCCACAGGTTTCTATACTATACTGTTGCTGTGCAATATGCATTATCATGAAAAGTTGTTGGTTTGAGTATTTGGACACATATTGATATCTTTCTTTAAAGACTGATGAACACTGAAATACTGAATGTAGGGAAGCTGTAGTGGCTGTACCCCTATAGTATAGGGCCTATACCCATATTCTATGTAATACCGCAGTGATAGTATGATACTATACTATATAGAACAATGTGACCCAAGCAACGTTGCCTGCTATAGATAGGTATAGGTAGTTATTGTGAAAAAAAAAATAAAGGAAGTTTGGTATTTACAAAATGAAAAAAAAACTTAATTTGGTTTATATAAATTAATAAGTTATAGGTGCAAGTTTAGTTTTAGGATGGCAACTGGCGATGCCGGCACTAGACTGTCCGCGGCATACCGGGAAACCTTCAGGACTCCCGTCGGCGTAATCCTCCACAACCCATATACATGAAAAATGTGTTTCCCACATATCCTCAGAGGAACCCCCATATTGATCATACAATATCAGTCACCCAGTATGCTACAGCTGCTGTAGTATCTATAATAATACAGTACCAACATCAATAATCGTTCACCAGATGATTATAACTTCATATTAACCGTACTACTACTAATAATAATAAATAATAATAATAATTAGTGTGCATTTCAGTTTACCGTTGTGCTTAGCTTTTGGGGTGACCAAGCGGAACGCGCTGTGTCCGCCGGCGCTACTGTGGTGGTGTCCGTTCACTGCAGAGGCATTTATGACGGCGGCCCCGGTGGCGTGGTGGTGATGGTGATGATGGTGTTGGTGGTCGTGCTGAACGAACTTGAGCAGACCCGATGGCGGTGCGGGTGAAGCGGCCGGTGAACGGTGGCCGTCGTTGGACTGCTGTGCGGCGGCGGTGGTGGACGAGGCGCCACCGCCACAACTCGTTGCAGCGGCAGCAGCAGCCGCTGCTGCGGCGGCTGCGGCGGCCCCGGACGAAGGCGTCCTGACGACGGCCGTCGGTGGCGTCCTCTTGACCGACACGCTAAAGTCGATCGGCGAGGACACTGTGATCTCCATCGCACGGGATGACGGCGTACGGGTTGTAGTGGCCCGCGGCTGCAGCAGTGGACTCCGGTGGCGAAAACAGTACCTCCGTACGGGCCCGTGGGTCGCCGGAAAAATGCGCCCGTTCGCGCGTGACTATTTCGACGAAAATCTATGCTCAGATATTGTGAAATCAGTTCCCGATAAACGATTATTGTTATTGTTATGATCGTTGGTCCGTATATTATTACCGTGCCGACAATCAGTACGTGTGCAATGCGTGTGTACGGCGGTGTCTGATTACCGTATAAAGTCGTTAAAAATTACGATTTAATTTCAAATTAGGAAATGATGATATTTTTTCCGTCTATTTATATTATGGTAGTCCGACAGGCGACAGGTATGCGTCGTGGACGCGCTCTGCCAGCACGGATGGTACGGTACGTGATCCGGTCGGAACTGTAATGTCGCGACGGCGGCGCCGGCCGAACGGTCGGGCACGTCGGTGGGCGGCGGCGCCCGCGGCCGCCCCGGACACACTCCTCCCACAAAACGGCTTTTGACTAACCGCAACGGGCGAGCGCGCCAGCGGTTTTACCTATACACACGCTCGCCGCTCGTCCGTCCGCTCGACGGGGCCCGCTCGAACCCGTACACCCGCCGCCGCGCACGGATCGCGACGCGCCAATCCCACCCACCCGCCGCCGCAGCCGCCGCTCACCCACCGCCACGACGACGCCGGTTTAATATTATACGTATTACAGTATTAAAGCCGTGCGAGTGTGCGTGCGGTTTTTCCGCGCCGTCTCCCCTCCCCCGCGTCTTATTGCCCTTCCCTTTCCGCGTCATCGTCCGCCACCGTCGTTCGCCTTTATATTATTATTATTATGAAATATAATAATAATAATAATAATAACGCGAGTTGTAGACGGCCAAATCTGTGGCGGCCACACTTGCGCGCGTTGTCAGCCACTGCCACCGCCGCCGCGCACCACATAACAATATTAATATTTTGTGTAGTGTACAGCGTTATATTATTATTACGTACAACGTACCTATACGCGAGGTCGGGGTGTTAGATTTTCACGATTTTTCGTCGTTGTCAGATTCTGCCATACCTACAGTGATAATATTATTATGATTCAACGCAATAAATTTTACATCAAAATAGGTTTTGTTCGACGACCGTTTTATAATGCTCAAGATGTCGTTATAAAAGTTATTGCGCATATACGAACCACCGTCACTCGGTCGCCGTCGTGGGCGGTATCCGTTTCCACTATAAAAGTGTACCTTTCTCAATCACACCTATATAATACCCGTTTCCATCAAAAGTGCATCTACTTTCTTCTTTTCCCTCATTTCTACCCAAATGAAATATTCGATGACTCCACGTTTACTCGAAAATGATTACTATACCATTAAAAGCTCGGCGGTTAACCTAATATTGTTTGTTACCGACTTATTTCTACCGCGCCGTACACAACTTAACGTCATCCCACCCTATCCGGTGACCGTCCATCGCACTAGGATATTTTTTATAATTCAGATTTTTAGAGGGGGAGGGGTGAAATTGTTTTACTGGCCCAAAATAAAACTGAAAAAAAATCGCTAACAATTTGCATTTTTATCTTAATACAAATAGCCTTTTTACATAATTTTTTTGAGAGATAACAATAACTAAATATTGAATACCTATGTAGAGCGATATTTAAATATATTACCTATTAGCTACTATACGAAGGCCCAAAAATAGCCCATACTTGGCCCGACAGCGGTCCGCTAATGACAAGGGAGTGGGGGGAATGCTCACCCAGCCACCCCCAAATGACGCCACTGTTTTATATGTCGTCTCAAAACATTCAAATAAAAATAAATGTTACTGATATATTATTTTTAAATAGTGGCATAAATAATAAGTAGTATCTCATAATAATAACACGTAAATTAACACAAAAAAATAAGACAATTTCCTAAAGATCCTTAAATTTCACACATTTTAATTGTTTTAATGATATTTTTTATTCTTTAAATAGAATGTTAGTATTGTAATATTGCAAAAAAAATTCATCGAAATTAGGTATTAATAAATAGTCAATTATATTATAATATAGGTACCTACCAATATTTGTACATATAACTGTCGTTGTCGTATAGTAACTTGCAAGTAGCGGAGGTGATAAGTTTTATATAGGTCGGTGACCGGGAGGCAATAACAAACAAGTACCAAAAGCTCTTATATACAGTACCTAAGTTATTTTAAAATACTATAAAATATTCAAAAAACAGTATAGTATACATAATACATATTCATTTATTGCTTATAAATATATAGTATTCACTTACTTTCAATAAAATTAAAATGAATTATTTATTATTATATTTCTTATAGTTGCCTACTATTATTTGTATACATTATAATATGATAAAGTATAGCAGTATGCCAATATACTCAGTAAGTGTTATAATAATTATTATTATAGTATTTAGTAATAAACTACTGCTATCGGACCCTAATAATTGTAACATTTAGCTCCTGGGTTTTACCTTAAATCCACCACTGCCTGGTGCCTGTATAGTACAATATATATTATTACAGTGTCTAAAAGTACTACAAAAAAGTGATTCGAATAAAGGTACCAAATAAATTAGGTAGTATTAGTATATAACTTATTACACGAACACGCATTGTGGGAGGAAGTTTCGTCAATTCGAACTCGGTATAGTACATACTAGATAATATAGTATATAATGTTATATAGATAAATAGCAGTGTTTTGAGGGACACATCCATCTTATTTTGCCGGGGAGTCTTTAGATTAAATATAGCGTTTATATGCATAACTCCTCGCGTCAGGTGACGGGATATAATATTATATACATTAAGACACCCAGCGAATAGGTTTATACAATATAATATATATATACACTATTTGCACGTGGCCACCAAACACTGTCCAGACGCGGCACTCTCGACTTATTATTGTATTAATATACGAAATGGTCGGAATTATTATAAAGAAGTGCGTGGTAAAATTACATCGCCCTTACTTACTAGTTGTACAAATATATATATATTAGTTTTCGGTTTTTTTTTTTCTAGCTTTTTTACCGTAATATTCACGTATACTGTGAACGTACTTCACGTACCGTTTTATACATTGCAAAACTTAATATACACGAAATAAAAAAATACTATAATATTATAGTAAATATAACTATATTTAAAATACCTAAAATAATTTATTTATTATAAATATAGATTTGTTATGGTAATATTTACTATATTTTATAGTTTACGCAGTTTTTAATGTTTGAATTAACTAAAAAATATAGTTAAAATAAAGCATATTTCAGTTCGAATAGCTTTAATAACTTGGCTATGATATTTTAGTAAATCCGATTAACCTTATAGCTATCCCTATAGCAATTATAATGTACAGGAAATTCTACTATTTTTATAGTACTAACAACTGTTTTGTTTTTTCCGTGATGTGTATACAATTATGTTTAATACGGTATAATGTATAAGTATAAATAATATTATAATAGGTACGGATAGAGCCCGACAGAGGTAGGTACTCAAATTTTTCTTTTTTAAGAAGATACCACATCAGTGGAGTAGCCAGGGGGGAGGCTGAGGGGCTGAAAATGTTAAGAAAATAAAAAAATTATTTTTATGGTCTATGATAGCCACTCAAAAGGTTCGGTAAAAGTTGATAGGAGATATAGTTCTGAAAATCTTCACTGGACTTCTCCTAACGAATATGAATCTAAAAAGACCCCAAACATCAAAATCCGTTTTCCTGTTTCGGAAATCTAACTAAAAATAACCATTTTTTTTATCTGTGAAAAATTAAATGATTTTTTAAAAAATTTTAATTCCATATTTATTATCTAATTGATAATCTCTTTTTAATGAGTTATCAACCAACTATCTAGCTATCATAGTTTAGGAGAAAGGTTAAAAAATAGACTGTTCACTCCGACGTTTTTATGGATTTAAGTGGTTATACCGCTTGGGTGTGATATCAAATCTCTCTCATTAATATTCTATATTAAAGTTTTTAAAATTCAGACTTTTTTCAATTTAATTACCATACTATTACTTGATTAAAAATCAAGAAAGTAAAACTATTCAAAATGATAAATCAGTAAAATATTATAGTCATTTTTAATGTATCTGTAATTTAATTTATTTCTCGTACCACCACATTGTTTTCCATGTACCACGCAGTTTAAGTATTACTACCTTATTTTCTAAATTTTTACAGGTTTAACTATATCAACCTAATACCTATAATTTAAATCTGGGAAGAAAATAAAGAACGCGATTCCAGCTGAGGAATTTACGAGTTTATAGCTCATCACTTGCCACAGACATTTTAATAGGTCTTTAAAAAAATATATTGGGAACTAAATACACCACTTTAATGCTATACAATTATCTACACACGAATGTATATTACACCGAAACTGAATAAAGATAATTCAATATTTAAACATACATCACAGTTCATATTGATATCTTGTTTTTTACCAAACTCAAAGTATAAGTTATATTGATAACTATAAAAAATTCATCAAAATCACTATAATATACTAGATTTAATAAGCTACCTTAGGATTTAAAAATATTGAGCTATATTTTATACGGATAATAATATATAAACTGGTGTACCTCGTACTTTTAAATTATTTTATTAACTTCTAGCATAAGCTATTATTACTTTAATTGTAACTACTTAGTACTTAGGTACCTATACATATAATAATTAATATTATGCATATGCATATTGTACATTTGCACCCAACTAATTTGCAACAATGTAAAATACTCTAAAATAATCTGTTATTAGTATACTACAACTTTAAAAATCGTAGGTTTGTTTCGTACGTAGTATAATCACTTACAATTTACAAAGTTCATTAAAAATGAAACTTAAAGTTTAAACTTTTAGTTTTAAATCGCAGACGACTTCTATAGGCAAATGCAACATTTTTACTATATTCGATTAGTTTTTATAGTACAT